GGACATTTTTGAGACTGGCAGCTTGTGATGATGCCAATAGTTTTCTCTAGATTCTGTTTATATGAAGAGAGAAAGGAAAAACTTCATTAAGTACATCACAGCCTTGTGCATGAAGAGACTTACCGTGGAACTCACATACATCAACGGCTGACAAGCATTTGGAATTTCCTGACAAGAACTTATAATTTACTTGAAATTCTTAGGCATGGCTTTGCAGCAAAGTCAGAATCTGTGCTCATGCAAAGCTTTAAAATGTTAGTATTGTATGGCAATTCGTATATCAACCCAACTTTTTCTTGGTCCACAAATAAAGAGAATGCTTCTCTCATACCTGGCTTTCTCGTCTGTATATTCTCTTTTGTTTTGCAAATTGCATAAAAAAGATCTTTACATCATGAGGCCTCCAACAAAATATACCCTTGCTTTCTTTTTAGATCATTAGCCAGACTCTGTAACCAAAACATATCTATGCCATGGAAAGTAAATTTTCTTTTACTGAATTACATGACACGTTATTACCGACCTGTACTCGAGCTATGTGATTGACAGTTGAGTTGTTAATTTCTTTAATCTGGACAATGTTGCTACTGCAATTGTGGGGTAGGAGAAGGAGAAGTTTGACAATCAGGTTGAAAGTTAAGTTTCACCTAAACCATAGTAGATTTTGTCCTTTAGATCTGCAGGTTGAACGGTTCCTTTATTGAGTTATACCAAAGATGGAATTGTCCCTTAAAACATAATTGAGAAAAAGAAAAAGGGAAAAAGGAAAAGGAACAAAAAAAGGCTGTCATTATATGCTTCTATAGACCATCCACTTCCAAAAAGAAAAAAAAGAAAGAAGGGAGAGAGAGTACCAAACAATCTTTTACAATGAGCAAAATAAACAAAACTTATAGCAGAACTACAGGGGGCAACAGAATAAAAATGAACCGAGGAAAATTCGATGAGCAGAACCAAATGCTCAGATGAACTCAAATTGCATTAGAAGCCTTACTGAGTTGTATTTTGTTCCTTTACGGTCAAAGAGAGGGACTGCACAAATCCCTTGTCTCAATTCAGACACTGGCAAACAGGTTTGGCCACCAAAGTCATCCTTCTCAGACATGTCATACTCATGTACCTCAACTCGAAGCAAAGCCAATTCAGGAACCCTCAATGGAAATGTAAACTCTTCCTCCCAGACTGGTGTCCAATCGTCCTCCTTCTTCTTAGTTTTCTTCATTATTTCATCAGCGGGAACTCCTGCTATGCCAACCTGCCTCACAGATTAAATGGTAAATAGAAGCACTAAGAAGTGTGTATCACTGCATTATTATTAATCAAGCACTTAAAAAGCATACATTATTTGGTTTACCAGTAGACTGACCAAGGTAATCATTTGAAAATAAAACACAGACCATCTTACCCTGGTGTAGAAATCCGGTGGGGAATATAAATCGAAGTGTGTTTGTTTGAAATCCAAATGCCATCCATCTCCCATATATACTTTGACCTGTCAAGAAACATAATTAGTTTAAGAGTCTTTTAAATGAGAGGGGATAAAAACAGTCTTTGACAATCAACTTACAACTTTACATCCAGAGAAAAGGAACAGAAAATGTGGTCACCTTTAAAGTCTTCTTTACTGGCAATTTTGCCTTAGGATCAAAGATCTGATTATCTGACTCGTTCATAATAAAATCAGGCTTTTTCACATAACCACAACCCCCATTGGCTCTAAACATCCCATGCATCAGCCAAAGAGATCTACCATATCCCTGCCATTGGACCAGAGAAATGTTCATTTTCTGTCTCAAAAATGCTACCAGTTTTCTTATCTTGAAATATAATTGCAAAGCATTATCTTGGTGACTGGGAAGAAAAAATACAATCAAAACAGGAGAAAGTTATAAGAAAAAGAAAATAACTTTTTTTCGGGAAAGAAAGGTAAGAACTTTAAACAACCTGCATATTGAATGCAACCATTTGAGCACCATGCATCCAACCAATAAGTGGCTTGTAGTTGGAGGAGTTGAACCGAGTACCTTTTGGGTACACCCTTAAAATGTTCTTCTGGGTAAATCTATGAATAACATTGTTACAGTTTATAGTTGTTCAGTTGGATAACATAGATCAAATACCAAGTAAACGAAGATTTCACTATTGAATTCATCACATGAGGGAATCATTCGGCACCTCATTGTGCTAGGAAAACAAAATGTACCTAACAACATCTGTTCCATGAGATTCAGCAGCCTTTTCAAGTGCTTGTTCACTCAAGCTAAGGCGTCTAACTTTATTAAGTTCAACTTTTAGTGCCTCCTTTAGACCACCCTTGGGTTTCCCAGCATGGATTGTAATTAGACGTTTGTATTCATGTTCTCCTGTTGAGAACGATCCACGATTACTGTGACTGTTATCCTCACTTGAATCACTGTCACTCTGCAAGACAATAGAGAAAAATTTAATCACCTAAGGGCAGGACATCAAGCGTAAGTGATGCTAGCAGTAAATTTTTTTTTTTTTTCTCAAAACACACCGTGTCATCATCTTCGTGTTCTTCTGTAAGCTCTGAGGGTTCTTTCCCCCATAAGTCTTCCTCACTCTTATGTGAGTCATGTTCCTTTTCATTGGCAGTTTTAGCCTTGCGGTACTCCTCAGGAGGTTTGGTAGAAATAATAATTCGGTACTTAAGTTCTTCCGGTGAAGGTAACTCTTTCAAGCAATCAGATTCAGGGTAAAACAACATCTCCCCAAATGTCTCAATGAGCATCTGGAAATGAAGAAATTTGCAAATTTTAAACAGTAATTATGGTAAGAACATGATTTATTACTCATAAATAAAAAAAGGAAAAGAAAATCACCTGTGCTACTTTAGCTTGGAGATCAGGGGTAAGATGGTCTTCAAGAGTTATGATGACAGGGTATGGAGATTCAGAAAATGCATGCTCTCGAATTGATTTCAAGCATTTAATAAGCTCCACAGGGGTTGTCAAAGTCCTAGATTCACAAATACACACTTTAAATATCAATCCCATGAGTTGGAACACTAGGCTTTCATAGAAATATCGACTAAGAACAGCAACAAAAAGTATTTAGGCTGAAAATAGAATGCTTTAAAACAGAGTTGCCTATCTTCAAGCTTACTTATGATGCACAGGCTTAAATATATTCAATGAAACTCATGATCATTAAGACGATTTCACTTTGAAGTCCGACGAGGTACCATTAGATTGGAGATAATTAGAGTTACCTTCCATGAAGAACATGCACATTGTCCTTTGTGGAATTTGGCCAAATATCAAGCTCCACCACTCTTACACCTCTCTTGAGTGCCTTTATGATTGGAACATCACTGCAGTCACTGCTGAGCTGATTTCCAGTCAGGTATGAATTATGACCTGTATATATGTAATAATGGGACAATGGAGCTGTCATATCCTGATGAACCTGAAACAAATTACCAAAAGCAGAAATTTGCAAATTGTCTCAATCAAAATCAAAGAAATTATAAAATGCACTTGTTCAATAAAGAAAACACTTCTTTAATAAATTCATATCAATAAAACAGGGCCACAAATTTGCTAATGAATTCAAGTAAACTAGCCCAAGAATTTAGATGTCAAGATATTTGATATGCTGATGAGCATTGCTAGATTATGAGCTATCTATGACAAGTCTCTAGCAGCATGTAGCAGCATGTTGCACACGTGTCAAATTGGAATTTGTCCGCAAGGAAGATTCTTCCACTCAAGCTAGCTATGAGCTGACGGAGTTTCAATATTTACATTCTTGCAGTTTCCTAAACTTTCTCGGGAAACAAACAAAACCCAGAAAAGAAAAACCCAATACCTGATCTCGAATGGGGGGGTTGAGATCGGGAGAGAACAAGTAATGGTGGAAGTCGTCGAGGGTGAGAGTGCGCCTGCTGATCAACTTGGCAATGTGGTGCCTCTTCTGCAGCACCTGCTCCACGATCCGCTCGGCGTCGGACGCCGCCGCACCGCAGCCTACGCCGCCGTCTGCCTGAAATTCCAGCAAGAAACGCTGCAGCTGCTCCGCTGTCATGTGGGTCCCTCCCTCGGCGTACTTGTTGAATGCCTCCTTGACGTCCCGCGGTGGCTCTGCCTCCGTCACCCTGAACTTCCTCGTGAAGCACATGCACATCCTGTAACTCCCCATCGACCTTAACCAATAATTTACACAACAAAAATCAGAGCTTTTGAGAAATGGCAGACAGAACAGGGAGAGAAACAGAGACAGAGAGAGAGGTTTAGGAATGTAAAGGGGTTGAGCTTTGGGGGGTTTATATTCTTTATTTATGGAATTGTGATCGTCAGATGAAGTTAGACAGTCGACAGCCTTTTTATTTTCTTTATTCATGGAAAATTTTGCCGTTTTGTTTGGCGCCTTTTTGGTTTTATTTATCTTTTTTTTTTCCTTTTTAAATCATCACGTATTAATTTTGATTGATGTTGACGGTTGCTTAATGGGAACTTTCTCCACGGAGGAATATGCAGTGACGGTCTCATGCGAACTATTAACAACTCTTGAGCCCCGAAATTAATTGAATCAACGGTTCACAATTGTTTCTGTGTGATTGTATTAATTAAATTTAGTGACAGTTAATGTGTAAATATTTTTATCTACGATTCACATTCGTTCATACGTAAGTCATGACCCACGGTTAGGTTTAGACTCAATGAGAAGTCAAGAAATAAGCTAATCTGTCCATGAGAAAAGATAGAGATCTGATAATGTAGAGACAGAACAGGAGGTCAAAGAACTCTTTCTATTTTTTTTAATTAAAGAAAATTTATCACGAGATGCACGTTGGTTTTCTTTTACTGAGCCATGCAATAAAGAAACACCAGAGTGAGTAAAGATCTGGCCCATTCCACCTGGTTTTATAGACTTACATTATCTTTGGCGTCATCAGCAAAGAGGAAAATTAAAAACAATAATAAATGATGTAATAATCAAATGATTCGAAGACAAATAGAACAATAGAATGGCTTGGTGATAGGATCATTTTTTTTTGACACTATGTGCGTACAGGAGGGGTGAACTTGAGCATAAGACGGCTCCTTTAATCAACTGACCTAACTAGCGGCGGAGCCATTTAAGGTGAAAGATGGCCTTGCCCCAAAATTTTTAAATTACTTTATATATTTACATATGTAGTTTTGGATAAATGGTGAGAGGAAGCTCGAATATGTATGTATTTTTCAAACTGATATTCATATTTTGGCTCCCGTAACTTTACAATTCTAGCTCTATTGGATCACATTCATAGTGATAGGACTATATGGAAACAAAAATTGATTTTGCCATTGGAATGAGGAGAACCAAACGCTCTCAGATGAACTGAAATCGCATTAGAAGCCTTATTGAGTTGTATTTGTTTCCTTTACGGTCAAAGAGAGGGACTGCACGAATCCCTTGTTCCAATTCAGAGATTGGGAAACAAGTTTGGCCACCAAAGTCATCCTTCTCAGAAAGGTCATGCTCATGAACCTCAACTCGAAGCAAAGCCAACTCAGGAACTGTCAGTTGAAATGTAAACTCTTCCTCCCATGAAGGTGTCCAAATGTCCTCTTTTTTCTGGGTTCGTTTCATTATTTCATCTGCAGGCACTCCTGCTATGCCAACCTGCATTACAGATATTATTAGCCATTAAATACAAGCCCTAATTATTTATTGTTAATCAAGCGCTTAAAAGCATACATAATTAATTATTTGGTTTGCCAGTAGGACACAGACCATATGTCTTTTTATATCTTTTTTGGTCATTCATTAGGGAGGGGGAGGGGGGAGTTTTATATTAGGTTGCCTCAAGATTGTCTCCAACGTGAATCGAACCCGGGTGGACTTACCCTAGTGTAGAAATCAGGAGGGGAATATAAATCAAAGTGTGTGTGTTTGAAATCCAAATGCCATCCATCTCCCATATACACTTTCACCTGTCAAGAAACATAATTGACTTTAAGATTCTTGTAAATCAGGTTAATTCCAACTTCACATGCACTAAAAGAAAAAGGAACAGAAAATGTGTTCACCTTTAAAGTCTTCTTTACCGGCAAGTTTGCCTTAGGATCAAAAACCTGATTATCTAAATTCTTCATAACAAAATCCGGCTTTTTTACATAACCACAGCCCCCATTGGCTCTAAACATCCCTTGCATCAGCCAAAGAGATCTACCATATCCCTGCCATTGAACCAGAGAAATGTTATGATCTAGTGATTGTTGGAGGAAATAAAACTAAAAGAAAAAATATCATATTTTTTTTAGGAAGACTGAAAGAACTTAGAACTTTTAACAAACCTGCATGTTGAATGCAACCATTTGAGCGCCATGCATCCAACCAATAAGCGGCTTGTAGTTGGAGGAGTTAAACCGAGTACCTTTTGGATAAACCCTTAAAATGTTCTTCTGAGTAAATCTGTGAACAAAAATTGAAGTATAGTCGGTTCAAAAGCATCGATTAAATACCAAGTAAAAGATGTCATTGTGATAGAGAAAAAGAAAAAGGACCTAACAATATCCGTTCCATAAGATTCAGCAGCCTTTTCAAGTGCTTGTTCACTCAAGCTAAGGCGTCTAACTTTGTTAAGCTCAATTTTTAGTACCTCCTTTAAACCACCCTTTGGTTTTCTGGCATGGATAGCGATTAGATGTTTGTATTCGTGTGCTCCTGGCGAGGACAATCCACCAATATTGCCGCCATTGTTATCCTCACTTGAATCACTATCACTCTGCAAGGTAATAGAGAAAAATTAATCACCTAAGAGGTATGACATTAAGCATGTAATTGGTGTTAGCATGTTCATTTAAAACACACCGTATCATCATCTTCTTCATGTTCATCTGTATTAAGCTCTAATGGTTCCTTCCCCCATAAGTCTTCTTCCTCACTCTTATGTAAGTCATCTCCCTTTCTGTTTGCAGTTTGAGCCTTACGGTACTCCAGAGGAGGTTTCGTAGAAATAATAATTCGGTACTTGAGTTGTTCCGGTGATGGAAACTCTTTCACAAATTCCGATTCAGGGTAGAACAACATATCCTCAAATGTCTCAATGAGCATCTGGAAAAGCAAAAGAAAAATAATTGCAGATTTTAAATAGTGATTTTAGTAAGAAGGTGATTTATTACAAGTTACAACTAATAAGATAAATAGAAAATCACCTGTGCTACTTTAGCTTGGAGATTCGGGGTAAGGTGGTCTTCAAGGGTTATGATGACAGGGTATGGAGATTCAGAAAATGCATGTTCTTTAATCGATTTCAAGCATTTAATAAGTTCCACAGGAGTTGTCAAGGTCCTAGATTCACAACAAGACACTTTGAATTAATATTTATCTACTGAAAATAGAATGCTTCAAAAATCAATGTTGGAGGTAGATTGGAGATAATTAGAGAATTTACCTTCCATGAAGAACATGCACATTGTCCTGTGCGGAATTTGGCCAAATATCAAGCTCCACCACTCTTACACCTCTCTTGAGTGCCTCTATGATTGGAACAACACTGCAGTCGCTGCTGAGCTGATTTCCGGTCAGGTATGAATTATGACCTGTGTATATGTAGTAATGGGACAGTGGAGCTGTCATATCCTGATGAACCTGAAACAAAATATCCAAGGCACAGAAATTTAAAAAATTGTCTCCAAATCAAAATAAACGAAATTAAAAAATGCACAAGATGCAGTAAGACCTCATGATCAAGAAAACAGAGCCACAAATTTGCTAATGAATTCAAGTAAACTAGCTCAAGAAGTTAAATCGCAAGATATTTGATATGCTGATGAGCATTGCTAGATTATGAGCCATCTATGACATTGACAAGTCTCTGGCAGCATGTTGCACATGTGTCAAACTGGAATTTGTACGCAAGGAATATTCTTCCACTCAAGCTAGCTGGCTAACAGAGTTTCAATATGTACATTCTTGAAGTTTCCTATACTTTCTCGGGAAACGAACAAAACCCAGAAAAGGAAACCCAATTAGTAAACAAGAAAAGTGAATTAATTACAGAAGAGCTAGCTACGTACTACCTGAGCTCGAATAGGTGGGTTGAGATCGGGAGAGAACAAGTAATGGTGAAAGTCGTCGAGGGTGAGAAGAGTGCGCCTGCTGATCAACTTGGCAATGTTGTGCCTCTTCTGCAGTACCTGCTCCAAGATCCGCTCGGCTTCGAACGCGGACGTGCCACCGCCCTCCGCCTGAAGCTCCACCAAGAAATGCCGCAGCTGTTCGGCTGTCATGTGGGTCGCGTCCTCGGTGTACTTGTTGAATGCCTCCTTGACGTCGGACGGCGGCTCTGCCTCCGTCACCCTGAACTTCCTTGTGAAGCATAAGCACATCCTATAATTCCCCATCTATCTTGATGAATTAATAATTTACACACACAACGAAAATCAGAGCTTTTTAGAAATGGCAGAGAGAGAGAGAGAGAGAGAGTGAGAGAGAGGTTTTAGGAATGTAATTAAGGGACTGTGTTTGATCAAGTTATAGACGGAGAGTTTTTTTATATTCCTTCTGTATTGATCTCTGCCGTTGTTATTTGGCGCCTTTTTTGGTCTCCTTATTTTCCTTCGCATTAAAGTTGTTAAATTGTGATGGCTTTGATGTATGACTGCATTGTTGCACCTCCCACTAGGTTGGAATATAATGCACTAACGCCAGTCGTGTGCGTGAACCAGAATAAGTCTTTTTTCACAATCACTTAATTTGAAGATATAAAGGACGTGGAGTGTGGCCTAGTAGTTTGCCCTCCCCCTTATCACCCAGCTGCTCTGGGTTCCAAACTTCCTTTAGAATAGAATATCGTTGTAACTCAAAAAAGGTAATTTGAAGATATAATTTGGACAAAAAGTTTACTGTGATCGACGTCCCACATGTGCAAGTCTTTTTCATGTCCAGTTTTATTGTTGTAATAGTCTCATGCATTGTCTCACTGTATCAATGGTTGACAATCGTCTGTACACATGCCAGAGTAATCCGCAGTTAAGTCTAAGCACAATTAGAAGCTAAGAAAGAAGTCAATGATGTCCCTCAGAAAAAGAAATGAAAATAGTGATTTTATAATGTAGGGAAGGTAAGGGACAGACGGACAATAGCTTTCTTTCTTCTTCTTCCGATTCTTTTTTTTTTTTTTCTTTTCTTCTTTTATAATTTAAAGAAAAATAAAGTTTATCACGACATGAAGGGACATGTGGGTTTCTTTTAATGGAGTGATTATAGACGACTACGGACTGAGCCATGCAATAAACAAAGACCAAATTAAAAGATTGACCACCCAAGGCCAAGGGTACATCTGGCTCATCCCATGTGGTCACATCAGCTATGTAGTAAGTATGAACTAACATTATCTTTGACTTTGATTAACAAAAGGAAACGAGTATTAAAATTAAGGTTGGTGTCTCTGAGCTAATTATGACAAAATTAAGGTTGATTGGAAATGGGCAAAACTATAAACATCTGTTAACATTGAGATCATATAACAAACAATTTATCCAATTCATTGAGCCTTCTGAGACACAAACCACTGAGCTCCATGATTTAACATGATCCTAAAAAAGAAGACTAGATCAGTTAAAACTATGAGACAACTACTACTGGTTCAATGGACAGAGCTGCATCAATTGCACAATTTAAGAGCTAATGAAAATGCTAAATCCGTTTTCTACTACAAACACTCAAATATGTTTCACATATAGAACTCCAAGGACATACATGCAAACTGGCCAAACCTCTATTTCCTGGGTTAATCTCTCAAACCAGAAGTTTACATTAGCACACAACTCACAGACTTTTGAACCTGAATTCCACGATCACATGGCTTAAGATCATTTTCTATGAAACCAAGCATGTAAGAACCCACCAAGACATTTAAGTACGGATGATTCATTCAATACAGAAAAACAAAAAAGAAAAAATGAGATTCACGGAAGAATAAGGGAGAACAACTTATGAGGTAATAACTCAAAGTCTTCCGTGCACCCCAACTTATGTGCGATGGGGTTTTCGTCGGGTTGGGTGTGTTTAAGAGGAAGATCTATGAGTGAAGAGAGAGCTAATAACTCAAAATCTGTTCATTTAAAAGGCTAAAAAGCCGAGTAATGGATCGAAAGCTACAGAGCAGAAACAAAGACTTGACCCAAATTTAGGAGATACAGACAGGGCAAAGGATACCAATTAAAGATGTCAAATGTTGAATTTTAACTGTCCTAAAGTAATATCTTAAAGTTGTCTTGCTTCTTCAGGCTCAAAGGATACCAATTAAAGATGTCAATGTTGAAATTTAAATCTAGCATGACCGAATTCAACTGTTAGCAATCAAACTTAACTTTGATACAACACAATGAATTCATAAAAGTATCTTTGCTTCTCGTTAATTTCCAACAAATCCATCCATTAATCATTATAGTAGAATTGGATGAATATATCTTGCAAATTGCAATGAACTAAGACAAATATAACTTGAGAATCCAATTGACAGTGATTCTAAAAATATTGTTGCCTTGCCTACATCTATAAAAGAAAGAAAGAAAACCCAGCAATAAATCCAAGAGTAAAATTACTCTCTTGAGCCATGAAAGTAAAATTACCACAGCTAATGAATCCAATATGAAAAAATGGTATATATATGGTGCAATGTTCATTATCTTCTAAAAGAGGGGCTTTTAGCCTTCAGCCCTTTGGGCTTCACCCAAAAGCTCCAAAATTCAACTCACCAAATTCAGTCAGACCGAAACGCGTACCTCTCAACCTTCTCGTCATTCAGATTAATCCCAACCATGGCCTCACCCAATCCACAGCTGATCTCAGCCAGCACATCTGGGTCACTATAATGGGTCGAAGCCTGCACAATAGCCCGAGCCCTCCGGGCCGGGTCACCACTCTTAAACACACCCGACCCGACGAAAACCCCATCGCACCCCAACTGCATCATCAACGCCGCGTCGGCAGGCGTTGCCACGCCACCGGCGGCGAACTGCACCACCGGCAGCCTCCCGAGCTGCTTCGTCTGCATCATGAGATCGTACGGCGCCGCGATTCTCTTCGCGTATGCGAACACCTCGTCGTCGTCCATGTTCCGCAAAACCCTGATGTCCCCCATCACTTGCCGCACGTGCCTCACGGCCTCGACGATGTTTCCGGTGCCGGCCTCCCCCTTCGTCCGGATCATCGCGGCACCCTCCCGGATCCGGCGAAGCGCCTCGCCGAGGTTCCTGCAGCCGCAGACGAACGGGACGCGGAAGTTGTGCTTGTTGATGTGGTGCTCGTCGTCGGCGAGGGTCAGGACCTCGCTCTCGTCCACGTAGTCGACGCCGATGGCCTCGAGGATTTGGGCCTCGACGAAGTGGCCGATGCGAGCTTTGGCCATGACGGGGATGGTGACGGAGCGCTTGATCTCCTTGATAAGCTGCGGGTCGGACATTCGGGCAACGCCGCCCTGAGATCGGATGTCGGCGGGGACGCGCTCAAGGGCCATGACGGCGCATGCGCCGGCCTCCTCGGCGATGCGGGCCTGTGCGGGGTTGACGACGTCCATGATGACGCCGCCGCGGAGCATTTGGGCGAGGCCAACTTTGACGGAGAATGGGGAGGATTTGGTCGTGGTTTCGTATATGGCGCCTTTGCCGTATACGGTGACAACGCCACTGCTGTCAGCCATTTTTGGGAAATTGGGAAGGTGAGATCGCGAGGAAGAAGGAAGGTGGTGGAGAGTGGAGAGTAAGTGGAGAGAGAGGAAGAAGAAGAAGATGATGACGATATGGGAAATGGAAATTGGATAAAATAATGGCTAGGGACTAGGGACTAGTTTTGATTAGTTAAATCCCCAAACCCGGCTCTTAATATTTGGTCTAAATTTCCGTTCCCTATTTTTGGCAACTCCAATTTTCTTTTTCAAATTTTCCTATTAAGGACATTTTTAATCGGTGAATGGAACTTAGATTTTACATGTTAAAGAGAGTAAAAGAGTTACCTAGGTTTTACATGTTAATGTAAAAAATTGAATAGTGTTTAGTTTTTAAATTCGAGACATCTTTCAGATATAAAAAAGAGAAATATAATTAGATTAAGAATTAGTTGATAAATAATATTAAATTTATGATTTCCATATTTTACTGCACTAGTGTTCTTTCTTTCTTTCAAGCATATAGGAATGCCTCTTTAAAAAAAAAGAAGCAAATAAATGTTAAGAGTTATGATTTGCCAAACTACAACGACAAAAAAGAAGAAGTGGATTTGGCCTTTATTATTTGAAGGAAAGAAGAAAAGAAGATAATGTTCTATATTCAGGACCATGCATGCATGAGGCATGATGGTGAGTTGTAAAGTCCACAAAACTCGGTCACCATGTCGTTGTTGCCTTGTCGTTATGCATATACCCAACAAAATACACAAACTGCTCTTTGCTGCCCATCTCATCTCACTCACTCCAAACCCACTCCACACGCAACAACACAAGCGACAATGAAAGATTTAGAACCAAGTCCATTTATATTTCAAATATTTCAAGGGAAGAAAATAATCACATAGTATTTTATTGTTGTATGTGTCTTTTTCCAGTCCCAAATGTTGTGCACCAATGCTATATTCTTTACACGCAAAAAAATAATTAAGGGGGAAGAAAACCCTACTCCAGGGGTCATCTAAGACTACCCACCAACTAAAAACTCTATAAAATTATGATTATATAAAACTATGGCCGCATCCTAGTTTAATCGTCTCCGTTCTTTTGGATTCATATCCTCCACAGCCTCCATCATTTCCTTATTTTTCTGTCTCCATCTCTTGATGAGATTACTATCGGCCGACTGGAGAGTGCATGGGGGGCTAGCAGAAGGGTATGCAGTTGTCTTTTCAAAAAACTGCCTCTGTTTAGGGTCGGCAAGACAAATCAGGGATTCCGCACACACTTCCAGAGCAGAATCTGGAGAGACTGGCTTGAAGTCCAGCAGCTTCGAGTACTCTGTGATGAGGTGAAACATGTAATCATAGACCCGGTCCATGCTTAGTCTTTCCATAAAATCTTGCCCTCTTTGTCCTATTTCCTTAGCCTGTTCAGCCATTGGGGAATATTGTAGCCACGATTATGTTCTTTTCGTGAAAAATATAAGGTTAAAAGGGGAGAGGGGAAGGAACGGAATTGTACCATAACGATGGAAAGTGTTACACAATGTAACAACAAAAACAACATAATGCACAGCATAACTAGCAATCGATACGTACCTCAGATTGGTGTCCATGGGCCCAGTCAACAGCAGATTTTATGGACGGGCATATAGCATTGGGAGAGATAGGCCAATAGTTAACCCTAGGAATGAGACCACGGCTGAAGAAATCCTCATATTGTGGGGTTATTATTAATGTAAGAGAACCACATGACACAATATATTTCAAGCTCACGGACCAAGCATAGCCTTCTGCATAGATTTTATACCTTCAACAGGAGGAAAAGATTTGTGAGATGCAGGATCGGTGCCACATGCTAATTAGATAAGAAGATAATAAATCAATGCAATATAACCATATACAACAGTTATTCATCAACCAAGATGAAAGAGGAGTGAAAGTTTTATGGATGGTCGCAATAGTCAAGGTCCAGTTAGATAAGAAGACAGCATACAATGGAGAATGTCTACGTCCTCTTTGAAAGTTAAAGAAGACCCCAAAAGGGGAATTTTGAACTCCAAAACTATAATCTGAAAACGGCTTCCTTTTTGTGTTTTGATACTAAGGAGGATGAAAAATGGCATCATTTTCATAGATAAAGAAAACTGAACTTAAATAGACAAAAGCAAAAGAAAAAATCCTCTAAGGACTACAAAACAGAGACCACAGATGATCTGTGTGACCATATATTATGCTAATAACTGATCAAGCTGCTTCTTCGCAGCTAACCAGTCACGCTATCTAATGAGAATATGATGATAGGCTATCACTTTTAGCAGCTGTGCTCACCGATGATTACACTGATTAGACAGTTTGGACTGCTCATAACCGGCTCTTGCTTCCGCTTCCCAATCCTATAATGTATATTAGAAAGACAATGTCAGGATTGGTCCTAGGCCTATTAAATCCAGAGTTCAAGTTAAAGAGATATCAACATTTGCAATTTTTAATTCAACCTGACGCATAATCTGTGCTTTCCACATCTTAGTGTCGTTACAGTTAAGTAACTCTGTACGAACAGGGGAACTAACATCTGGGTTTCCTTTCCAATACGCGAAAGGCTCCTTCTTTCTCCAACTTCTTTCCTTAGAACCCCGTTTGATTTTTCGGAACTGCTCATTCCAGGGATAAATATGTAGCTCCGGCCTGTGCAGTAATCATAGACTATAAAGACAATCAGCACAAATAAAACCATAACCAGGCATTTGAAGCCCATATAAATGCAACATTTTCATGCTACTTAGTACAAGTTTAGCAAACTATGTCAATCCTGGAAAATTCCATTTACGACAGCGGTGATTGATCCACCTAAAATGGGGACAGCGTGAAATTGATGCAACCATACACTAATTTACAATTTCTTATAGCAATTTAAGCATACACAAACAAATCATAAATGTAGGTTCTTTCCCATTGAGTCACTGGCAATGCGTATAAGACAAGCATATCTTTTTTGCTAAAAAAAAAAGCATAATTACCCACATAAAAAAACTGTAAATTTAAAAAGACAACAATAATAAATGTAGAAGACGATAATCAAAGACTAATGATTCTTACCAACCCCAGAAAGACCAATCAGGAAATGGGATATCAAAGTGATCTTCATCCGTACAGTACCGGAAAAGTGGCAAAGGCATTGATTCATGCTCGGTCCGGTTAATAATGGGCTTGTCCATACAATCAAACATGATATCCACATCCGGAACCCGATCCGGGTACCTCGCAAGGAGCTGCAGCAAACCCCAAATGGTGAACATGGCTCGGCTCTGCACACAAGCCCAGTACAAATCCACATACAGCTTCCCGCCAACAATCACCACGCGAAACGCAGCGTACTGCTTGGCCGCCTCCAGATGGGCCGCGGAGATCCGGTTTCGGGCCCACGGCTCTAGATCGTGGTGGATCCATCGGAAGAAATTGGGGCATTTTGGGGCTTTCGCGCTGGACGAAGGAGGACGACGCCGTTCAGGGATGTCGTTGTTTCTGTAGCGGCACACGAGGTAGGAGCAGTGAATGAGCTTGTAGGCTCGGTCGTGGAGGGTCTCGTCGGAGAAGGTCTTGGGAGGGAAGAGGTGCCATGGCGTCGGGTCGAGGTTGTGGCCCGCCAATGTCTTCGTCTGAGTGGCGAGGTCGTCCACCTGTTCGACAAAATGCCCAAACGAATTGAGACTGAGAAACAAGAACAAACAATGAAGACGCAGAAAACGACGCGGCGTTTAAAAACCTTGTAGACGACGACAACGAGAGAGAGGAGGGATAAGGCGACAACGGATGGAAGGATGTAAGAGGGCGAGCGAGCGGTGGCTCTTGGAGCCATAGTCCGATGAGGTGGCGGTGGATGAGTGGTGCTGCCGCTGCTGCATTGTCTTTTCTTCTGTCGCCTTGTAAATTTGTAATCTGTCGTCACCTGGGGATGGGATGAGCTCCTTGGTTTTTTGCTTCTGTTGGGACCCACTCAGCACTGTTATTTGCCACGTGGGTGGATTTTAATAACTTCCTGACCCGTTTTCTCCTCGTTCGTGTTTCGCGGGGAAAATGGATGGTGTGGGACCCACTGCGCAATAATCTGGTGATTTCATGAATAAACACTTTCATTTCGTACCAAGAAAATTCTTCGGACACTATACAATAGCTTGTGCAGACGTGGGTTAAGTCAATTCGTAACCGGCGAAATTGCCCAATCCTATCTTTCCTTGAAGTAGGTCTGTAGTGTTCCATTCTCTTGTATTTAAGTTCGAGAATTTCTCGTTCCATGAAAATATTTATCATAATTAAGGGGAATTACAATTTCGATCCTTGTGGTTTTGATAATTTTATTTATTTGTTTTGATTTTGTGGGTTTATTTTTTATTTTGCCAAAATTAGGAAGAGAAAATGAAATCTGACACACTGCCAAAATGTCATGTAAATTCAATTAGTTTATTGTACTTTTCTGGGTGAAAATAGTTTATTGTATATATTGAACCCAACCTTGGTTTTTAATTTGTTTTGTTATATTTGAAGGTTGATGACCACTAAACAAAATTACCTTGGTTCTTGTTTATAACAAATTGCACTTGATCCTTCTAGATTAAGCTAAATAAAATAACCAATAGTAGTAAGAAAAATCTTCATCTTCAAATCGAGTGAAGGGTGTATGAAACATTTGAATTATACAAAATCAGCTTTAGTTTATGAACAAATTACATGTGTGAGATATACACATCCGGAAAATCAAGCTACAATATTGATACAGAGAAAAATCCCAAACTTCAGAATGAGGGAAAGTAAACTGCATTATGTTGCCAGTCTCCTCAAAAGCTTCATGTGAAAACCGTATGAATTGTACAAACAAAAAGGAAAGAAAGAAAAGTCTCATATTACAATACAAATCACTACTTCATCTGTTAGTGAAAAATATCCACAATGGACCATTAAGAAGTATGGTGCAAGGGAGCTCCTACAAACTTGGCTCACTTATATACACAGCTCAGACTGTAAAGATCTTCCTCACTTTCTTCATCCTTCTACGGCATATGGGACAAGTACCCGCCTCTTCGGCAATCCTGCACGGTGAATCCACTAATCAGAATCTAACGCTGCTTTGATTTAGCACAAGTTACAAAGATTTTATTAATATTAGTGATTATACTTAGCAAGGTATGGTGTCTTATGTTGCATAAGAGGCATATGATGTAGATTTACATACCTTGTTCCACAAGTAAAACAGGCAGCACAGTGCCCACAAGGAAGAAAGAAGCAATCTCTTGGACCATCAAAGCAAATAACACAAAGACGCTGAGTATTGTTGTTATCCCCTTCATTTATTGACTTTCCTACAAGGGAACTCACTTCAAGGCTCTCTTCCAAATCTTCTTCGTTATTTGAAACAGATTCATAAGATGAACCCCAACTCAAAACATCATCATCTTTCGGCGAAAGCAATGGGGTTTGTTCGGATTCTGCCTCCCCTGCTTGAAATTCTGTTCTGACTTCACTAGGGTTTTGGAACATGTTACAAAATCTAAAAGCCATTAAGAGGAGCACAGTCATCACACCTATATGCAAACATAGAGGTAGGTGTTAGTAGACCTTTTTCTTTTTTTTATCAGTGTTATGAGAAGTATATGAAGGCAAACAAAAAGTAACCTGATCCAAGAAAATACATGACCCATCGCGGTCCATAAGAGAGTCTGATGTACCAGTCATCGTCAGGGACACCCTAGAAGAATCATAACTGAAGATTAAAGACACATGATTGGGATTCAAAGAACACATTTATCGTGACAAAGTATTGGAAGCTGCATTGATGACCTAAAAGGGGCAGAAGAGAAAGAAAACTAGCAAAGGAGAGTCTTTTGCATTACCTCTTTAGGACCTGGAGAAGTTATGACAACAGCACTTGCCCCCAAGAGGGAAAGCTTTAAGCTACATAATTGGTTATCTAAGAAGCATTTGTAATACGCCTTGGTTGTGTTATAATGAACAGATTTGATGTTGAATTCCAACTCTACCTGTTGGAAGGTCAACAAAGCTGTTAATGGTTATTTATGGATATATAATTATATACAACAGATCATACACATTTGAATAATTACCTCAACAGACTCAGGGTTCAAGTTCCCTACTGCAATATAATAATAAGAAGACTCTGGAATTTCCTGCTGGATCTTACCACTTTCTGTGAAGAAACCAGGTTGCTTAGAACAATCTAATTGGTGCTAAAAGGGAGGATAGAGCATTGATTGATGAAGCTCACCATAAATTATATTCCAAGACAATGTTGCGTTACCATATGATGGATCCTCTATCCACTCAGCCATGCTTTCACTACCTGCAGGTTCAGATGAAAGTTTTCAATACACGAAAACACCTTTGAGTTCTTCTACCACTCCCACCACCACCACCCCCGAAAAAAAGGGAAGAAAACCGAAAAAACAAAAGGCTCCCCCTACAATAAGGGCTAGATAATAAACCTGCAGTAGAGGCATTTGGCCTCAGGGGAAAGCGGTTTAGTTTCAAGGGCAGCAGAGGAAGCAAGACACAGAAATTGGAGAAGTTTTGAAGGGTCACTAATAGGATGCAATTTCTCTGAAAGTACTTAATTATCAGTCCTAGTCTCGAGAACAATATCCAAGTTTGCATTCTTATAAAAGTATTTGATGATTGTTGGCATGACCTTGAGATGATTGTTGGCATGACCTTTAGATGATTGTAGCAAAGAAGCTGCCACAGAACATTATTCCAATTCTTCAACTAACTGATTTGACATCAAGCCTAGACCTTGATACCGTAAAGTTTAGATAACCATAGAGGAGGAGGTACTTCAATCATAATAACAAAATTTCCCAAATTTGAAGAGCAGAAGTTGGGAATTACCTTGTGCGACTACAAGGGTTAAAGGCAAGGAACTTGTAGGTTTTACACGGTAAGAAATATCTATTCTAGACCCTTTGTTTAGAAAGTATATCCATTCCTGTTACATGAAAAGAAAAGAAATTTTATCCTATCAATCAAAACATATGAAAAAAAAAATTGAGTGAAGATGAGAGAAGAAGAGAAGAGAATAAACTGTAGATACTATACAGTAAATGGCAAGCATCTTACCTTGTGATAATTGGCTGGCACAAGTGTATCATGTGTTTCAGTCCAAGCTATTTCAACATCCAGGGGAGGAGGTTTGTGAAATCCATATAACATTGGCCCAGGTTTTGGCTCATCAAGTTCTTGTGCCTGTTTATGGACTAAATGAGTTTACTGCACACTAACAGCTGCAGCAGAAAGGAAAAAGCAAAAAAAAGAGGTAAAATGAGAATTATGAGATTGAATCACCTTAATGGATTGCACAAAGAAGGGATTAGGTTGTATCAGGAGTGAGCAATTCGGCCCCAATTTCAAATTGGCCGATCCATAAAAACCGAGTATCAAAGTCATGGATGCTGCGGGTGAGGAAAATCGAAACCACAAGCAATCCAAGCAAACCAAATGAGTTAGATGCTCAAGTCATTAGTGAATGAGTTCATTATGTAACAACAACAGAAGGAAAAACTTCAAAAGAAGAGAAAAAAAAGAGAGTACAAGTTAGGCTCTTCTTGTCTGCTTGGATCACATGGGAAAAACCAATATAGCAAAATGAAAACTTTCAGATCATTTCATACCATTTATGAAAGAACCAAATTCAACCCTATCCTTAAATGCACATGACACAAGCGAAATGGATTGATTGGTTTCTAGAATTTTTTTTGACAAAGCAGTGCCCAAAACTAGTAAAGGATGGAAAGGGAAACTGACCAAAGAACCAAAACGTGACAAGCACAACAAGGCAAGACCAAACATCATCCTTCATCTCGGATGCTGCTACATCAGACACCAACAAATTCACATGATAAGTAAAAATCCTAGAAATCCTCTGCTGGTGCTGTTGTCGTTGTGGCTGCTGTTCAATATGATTGTGCTGGCTCTGCTCATCAGAAATATCATCCCCATTTTGAGGCCTGTTATTTTGTTCATCTTGCACCTGTGAGCTAGATGGTGAAGAAGAAGAAGAAGAAGAAGAAGATGGAACAGAAACACGTTGACCCTGATCTGGTTCTGGGATTTCCATTCTGAACACAAAAAACAACCAAAATTAATTATCTTTGGCTGTTATTATTATGCGTAGCAATGAGCAAAGAAGCAAAATTATATTAATATTTTGAAAAGAAAAAAAAAATGGTGTTTCAGTCTCTTTCTAGCACTCACCTTGAGGAATGTAGTGGAAGTAGTCGGCCATTGAAGATGGAAAGGCGGTGGTGAAGAGGCTGTGACACTCTCACCAAGAAGTCCTCTTTTTGATTTCCTTCTTTGGTTTTCTCTCCATGGGGAATGGTAGTTGGTGCGTGACGGTTAGTTTATGTCTTTTAAATGCTTGATTTTTCACTTTGAATGTTGTTTCTTGTGTGCCACAAAGTGGTCGGTCAACGAGCTTGAAATGATGTAAGTTGATGGGGGCCCATAATTCTTTTTGTTTATTTATTAATGTCTAACTTTTTATGAATTGTCATGTTGTTTTGGATTGGTAGTTGGGGTATAATTTTCAGGACTACATGATGACACAACTTGAACACGATAATGCAAAGGTTGATCACAACTTCTATCGAAATCTAGTTACTTTATGAATGTTTCCATTTGCTCTTTAAGGGAAAAAAACGTTCTCTCTTTTTGGGAAATAATAAAGATTGAAATAAAGGTTTAAGAAAGGATGTCGATTTTCTCACTTTCTTTTTGTCCACTTACACCACATTTTGTTTTCAATACTTTTTACTATACCATATAAGGGAAGAGAATGTAAGTAAACAAATGGGAAGTGAGAAATCAACTCCCTTTAAGAAAAGAAATACGTCAACATGGTCTAATTTAGTGAAAATTGACACTCACTTGTAGATTAGTGGTCTTATATTCGAATCCTTATCGTCACTGATCTACAAGTCAAGTTTTTTCACTGAGTTAAATCGTGCTTGCATTATTCCATATAAGAAGACAGTTCTCATTCCTGCAAATTACAGTTTAATACATATAGATATAGAAGGAAAATCATCAAAACCACAAATTTTATTTGTTTGCACTTAATGTCTATAATTGGAAGGTATGAGTTCCTTTCCAAGAGAATGCGACTACTGTTGATAAATATTGACAAAAAAAAGCACTATTGTTGACAGAAACAAAAATTACGACGCAATGTAGGCCCAAATGCATCTCACCAATCAGCCACAAGGCCCAAAACAGCTCTCAGAAATCGGCCCGTATCCATTGACATCCAAAAAGTTCGAGACTGTCGACGGCACCACAGACGGCTCAACCAATCGCATTCAACCAAAGCACCAAAATTTCCGACGTGTCGAAAGCGTATTGGCTGGGACACTGAACCCTAAGACTCCTCTATAGAATGAATGCGTACGTCAGTACCAAATCAATGAATCTGAGAGACAGAAACACTGAGACGTTGAAGAACTGAAGAAGCAAGAGATGGCTCGGACGACGTCGTTTTTGCTCTGCACCCTGGTCCTCTTCGGAACCCTAGCTCTCACCCAGGTGAATTTTTTTGATATTAGCTTAATTCCTTATCACAGTCTCACTCTGATCCAATTGCAGCCTATTGGGGTTTTTTTTTTCTGTAATTTTTTAAATACATAAACTTGGTTGAAATCAGTGATTGATGAAGAGGGTTGATGATCATTCAGGCAAAGAAGTCAAAGGAGGATCTGAAGGAAGTGACCCACAAAGTTTTCTTTGATGTTGAGATTGCTGGCAAGCCTGCTGGTATGTTTTTACTTTGTAATATAGTTTGTTGATTAGATTGTAAAACAAAATTTGACCCATCACTCAAAATTCAATGATTTTAAGTGGCTGCTCCCAAATTTGATATTGGTATTATATTAATATGATAATATACAAGCCCAATTGGGAACTGAAAGGTGATCATTTCTGTAGAGGTGGGAATGTGGTTATGTTCATAGAGTGTTTACAAATGAAAATTGGGGATTCCAATGTGATGATTTAGAGATTTTTTTGTTCTTTTGTTGGTGATACTTTTTGTTTTGGCTAACAGATATTGATACTGTTCTGATCACTGGGTTTCAGGTCGGGTTGTAATTGGTCTCTTTGGGAAGACGGTTCCCAAGACTGCAGGTATTGTAGTGAATAATCACTCATTTTGGGTGGGTTCTGTGTTCAAAGCTACATTTGCAGGACATTACTAACTTATTCCTTTTCTTTTTTCAGAAAATTTTCGAGCTCTTTGCACAGGTAACCAGCCACTCATCTTCATTTCCTTGTATTTAGCGTAATAGATTATATGTGGTATTTACTTTTTGGGGTTTATCATCAGAAATGTATATAAAATGAGATTTGGTTAAGGCCTTCAAGCTTGCTAACAACTGGACATTTACAATGGGAGGATGCATATAATTGGTAGATAGATAGAAATCTTCCTGTATTCTATATTGCCCCAAAACAGAAAAAATAAATATATATATTATGTATATATAAATATATCTTTGTAATGTTTTTTGTTTCCTTTTTGTTTTCCATTTAATTTGAGGTGATTTCACACTTGGTGATGGAAGAGGTGGAGAATCAATTTACGGAGAGAAGTTTGCTGATGAGAATTTCAAGCTGAAGCATACTGGCCCAGGTAGACAAATAATACAACTCCTTCCCGCCCCCAACTTTTTTTTTTTTCCTTTTTTCCTTTTTTCCTTTCTCTGAATGGAATAGATGGTTGCCACCTATCATAATGCTGATGTGAACAAAAATCACTTGACTCTTGTGTACAGGGCTTTTGTCAATGGCAAATGCTGGTTCCGACACCAATGGTTCACAGTTCTTCATCACAACTGTGACAACTAACTGGTAATTTAACGTGCATCCATGCATACTTGTAAAAGATAAAAAAACTTCTAAAACAACTATCGTCTGCTGCTTGATGCATGGTTTCCTCACCTTACATATTTGCATCTTTGCACTCATTCGAATTGGGGTTGAACTACTGATTTCATCAGGTGTTACTCTGAAGTTTCTGAACTAATATTTGAATCCCTATTTACAGGTTGGATGGCAGACATGTTGTATTTGGAAAGGTGCTGTCTGGAATGGATGTGGTTTACAAGATTGAAGCCGAAGGAAATCAGAATGGCACACCCAAGAGCAAAGTCGTGATCGCAGACAGTGGCGAACTGCCTCTCTAGATGTTGCTATCTTTCTCCATATACTGAGTGATAGTAGTTGTAACTGTTCTACTTATCCTTAATTTTCCATGTTTGAGATCGCTGAAGATGTTATAACTCATGTACCAATAGATTTCTTAATTTGAAATGGATATTTCAAGCTCTTCTTTTTGGGTGCGGATCCTCTTCTCTCCACTCCTTCCAAACTCTCCTAACCTCGCTAACCTTTTAACAACAAAGTGCTACGTTTCAAGTATGAAATCTGTGGCTGTGAAATCCGGCAAGATCATCGAAAACCCCCAACCCGCCTTTTTTTTATGGTAACCCATTATGTTGAGCCTGGATCTGTTTCTAAATATCAAAATGTTGGTGGGAAGAAGAGTTGAGAGCTCTGTGGTTGTGGGTTTTCAAGCCTGTCGGTGAGAGAGGTGATGGCTACTTTCTTGCAAGTCTATTTTCCAATGACATGATTTTAAAGAGGATTGGTCGTGGACTGTTCAAGAAAGTTTGGGTCTTTGATAAACAAGCCGAAGCTGGGGTTTATTAACAAAGTTCTTTCTAAAGAACCCAACAGAAAAATTATAATTAATATGAGTTCGTAGGATGTCATTTTAATTACTTGGTTTTTTATGGTTCAAAATTTTGGTAGGTTGGGAGATTAAGGCGATTGGGAGAGGATTCCGAATCCTTTTTTCTTTTTATTTAATCAGCATGATATAGTTTATTATATTTCTTAAATTCAGGTTACAGGTTCCTTTTGTTATGGAGCCTCACAATTTTTAGCCTGTAATATAATAAAGCGAGGGAAAAAAAAAAAAAAAAAAAAAAAAAAAAAAAAAAAAAAAAAAAAAAAAAAAAAAAACTTAAGTGCCAACATAAAATAAATATTCAAAACAGGAATCCGAGACCCAGCATAATTAGGAAAACAACAAGTGATAAAATAAAAGAGAGCTAGGTGCCAACATAAAATAAAGATTCAAAACGGGAATCCGAGACCCAACATAACTAGGAAAACAACACCACCCCATGCTTATAAATCACTCACAAGCAAGCACGAAGTCAAGTCAGTGTTTCTTTCTCCTTTTCTGATCAAAGATTTAAGCAGAGAGAGGGAGAGCGTGAATTGCTTTCAAATAGGCTAACAATGACTAATTATAGTGGTAATCGGCTGGTGGGTTTTAGGTTTCACCCTACCGATCAAGAACTCATCAGTTACTTCCTCTACAAGAAAGCTGTAGCCAAGGAGCCATTAATGGCGTCATACAGCAACATTGTGCATGACTTCAATCTTTTGGGCGAAACAGAGCCCTGGGTGGTCTGGGATATCTTCGGAGGACCTGACCTCATTGACGAAGACTTGTATTTCTTCTCGGAGCTCAAGAATTTAAGCCCAAAGGGTTCGCGCATCAAACGCAAGATTGAGGCCGGAGGTACTTGGAGCGAAGCCTTCTCCAAAAAGGTTTACGACGAGACTACTGGAAACCCTATCGGGCGAAAAAGGAATTTGCGGTACGAGAACGAAGGGTGTGAGCACCACGGCAAGTGGCTGTTAGAAGAATATAGTCTTGTTGATCAAGAGACACAAAAGATTGTGCTATGCCGACTTAAAAAGAACAACAGGGTTTGGAACAAAATAAATAATTCAAGTCAAGAATTGAAGGAGAAACCCTCAAACAAGAAGGCAAGAAAAGGATTGGGATCACCAAGGACCAAGATTGAGGATGAGGAACCACACAGAACTTCTGGCCCAAGTAGCGTCTACAATAATCTTGATCAAGACTTGATAATCGATACTAATTATAATGCGATTTCGAATAATATTTGTGGTGATAATCAAGATAACATGTTGATGACCAGTGACTTTGCGTCTGATCCGGTATGCTTCGACTATGGTGGTCTGACAGACGAAGAATATGTTTTTGACGTCAATGAATTGTTGGCAACAGTAGAGCCACAACCATTGTCATTGGAGTTGCCTCAGATGGCTGAAACCCTAGAGCCTTTGCTAAGTTCTGGGCTTGGTGATGATAGGGCAGTGGAAGCTTGGAACTCAAGTGGTTTGGAGAATATATATGCAACCAACAAAAAGACATCACATATTGGTTCAACAGTGAAAAAATATTTTGAAAATTTGTAAATTTTTTTTAAAGATTGTGAATTTTCCGTTCTTAGTACACTAGAGGCACATTGTAATTTCCTTCTTGGTATATATAATAGTTTTTTTTTAAGGCTAAAAGTCATTTTTGGTCCTTATAGTTTGGCACTTCAACCACTTTTGACCTTATAGTTTCAATTCCATCAATTTTGACCATATAGTTTCAATTCCATCAATTTTGACCATATAATTTTGTATTTGTAGCAATTAAAGGACAAGTCAGTATTCCTGTTAATTTCTTTGACGGTGCAAGGGGCAATGTCAACCCAAAATCTTTGAGTATAAAAGCTCGTCTAAAACTCCCATAATTTCATATTAGGGCTTGAAATTGGTTGTTTGAGCTTAAGGTTCTTCAAAAATTAGGATTAGTGGTTGACTTTCGACTCCTATTATGAAATGGGGAGAATTTCAAACAAGCTTTTACATTCAAGGGTTTTGGGTTGACGAAATTACCTCTTGCATCATGAAAGAAATTGACAAAAATACTAACATATCCTTGAATTGCTACAAATACGAAATTACAATGGCAAAATTGATGAAATTGAAACTACAAGATCAAAAGTAATTGAAGTGCCAAACTACAAAAACAAAAGTGACTTTTGGCCTTTTTTTAATTCCATATTCTTCTTTAATTCATATAGTTTATTCAGAATATATGATAGTTTTACATTATTTTTCAAAGAAAGAAGTTGAGATAAAAAATGTAATTGGATAAGGAGGGAGAATACAAAAGGCAACTTTTGAAATTAAAACTGAAGAATGGCTGACACAAGCTTAGTTAAGTTAGCCACAACAGAAAACCAAAAATGAAACAGTCGATTATAGATAATTTCAGTTTCTTGCTGCTAAAAGAAAAAAATAACAGATAATTTTTAGTTTTAATTCTCCTTATCTCTCTACTCTCTCCAATGAACTAAAAATAAAAAAAAATACAACAAAAAACAAAATTAAAAACACGAAACCGTATGAAACAAGGGATATGTATGTATTTGATGGAGTGTATCAGGTCATTGACAACTAAGTTAAATTACAGTTTTTTTCTCAAGTTATATACATGCCCACACGGTAAGTACAAGGAGCAACTTGAGCTAAGCTGGACTTTTTCAAATAAATAATTTAGACACCTATGGTGGTATGTAAAATGATGAATATCAACATCTGAGAAACCTGATCGACCTTCAACATTACATTCACTACACTATCCCTAACAGCTGTGACAACAAACAATGACCCGAAACACAACCTGTGGATGGTTTTACATAAACTAGTCTTCGTTACAGTTTAATTCGCTCGTTCCGGCAGAGGGATAATACTCAGTAACTATGTTAAAGAGGGTTACTCAGGATCACTCTCCGAATCTAGAAAGCTGAACTCTTTCTGTGCACCTAGCTTGATTAATACTGTTCCCTGATTCTCTTCACTCCATTTTATACCTTCATTCTCAATAAGTTTGATGACCTGTGCAAGGCAAACATTTAGGTAATGTATCATGTATACGTACGAAGATTGTCCCTATAAAGCTGAAGATTAAAAAAATTCAATGAAAAAAACATACATTCTTTTTTGCTAAAAAAAATTAAAAGATGGAAAGGTCAAATTCACTAGCACATACAAATATGGCACCATCATGAGTTAAAAGAACATTTTATTTGCACATAAATTAACAAAGGCACCAGTTTGATCATTTTTATATGCATTTTAAAACCGTCAAGGCCTGATTTTCCAACAAATTTAATGCAATGGAGCAGCTAAACCCATACCGATTGCTTCAGCTTTGACTTTCCAACACCATGTGACCCACACCCTGTGATGACCCTGAGGAATTGAACCGCTGGACCAGACATAGAAAAGTAATTAAGCTCACAATACCTAACAATTTATCAGAGCAAATTTGTTTTAAAATGAGAAAGTGGGGTAGAAAACACTTACATTGTGCATATGTTCCGAATAGGAGATGGATTTTTAAAAGCTTCATTGCTTGTTTGACGTGTTGTCCATGCAAATCAATTGTTATCACATTTTCTATGCCCTTGTTTCTGCATATTATAACATTAAGTAGTTTGTCTACAAAGAAAAAGGTAAGAGTTGAAAAAGGCAACGAATATATCATGCCAACCTAGCTTTAAAGATATCCTGGCTTGCCCTTTCATCAGCCTCTCGTGCCAACTTTGTCTGTACCTTCCCCTGGCCAAATGCAAGATTCGAGGTCAGGTAAATATCTCAACTTGATACAAAAACAAGAAAACAAAAGAACGACAACAGCTTTCCATGAGGCTTCGCCCTCTAGAAAATACAAACAAACTTAAACTGACAAATAGAGTGGGCATCCAAGGGACTTAGACTAGGTGGTTGACTGTTAAATCATTAAGTTTGTATAATGATTTTATCCTAGACCATTGAGCAGCCTACTAGCCCTCATATAAGGAAATTGCTAGGGGAAAAAACCAACGAAAGCGCAAACAGCACACTTCAGCTATTGTCAAATATTTACTAATAATTTCAATAGGAAGTCCAAACATCTATCTAACACATTGTGCCAACCACTCCTCCATCATTGACAAAAAATGACATGCATGCCTCAAAGTACATCATTATAAAACAATCCAGTGAAAGCACACCTCCCAAACAACAACCTTACATCATTATAAAACAATCCAATGAAGCATGCCACCCAAACAACAACCTTACATCATTATAAAACGATCCAATGAAAGCACACCTCCCAAACAACAAACTTGCAATATTATGCTCTTAAAGAAGTACATACCTGGTCAGCGAGGTAACCTGCGTATTCCCGTGATCCTTTTGAATATGCCGTTGCAGCCTGTAGATAAATGCGCTCTTGTCAGTAAGTTACTAAAATAACCAATAAAAGTAAGGTGCTAAAACCATCTTACTTTCTGATAATGCGACCTCACTGAATCCCAGTGCTCCTTTGCAGTTCCTCTGAATGCATGATACTCGTCTCCTTTAACTAAATGAAAAAGGAAACAGAAAAACATAAGAATAAATGCAACTACACTGCTACACTTGGGTAAATAACCATTCATTAAAAAGTAAACAAAAGAAGCATTAAAAAAATGAAACCTTAATTATGAGGAAATTAATCACTAATCTAAGAGGAAACAAGTCCTTCGTACAAGAGAAGATGCAATTTCAAAGGAAACATCAGGAAATCAAAGTTCAATACCAAAGGTGTCCTTCTGTGCTGCAGAGCTAGAAGTGCAAACATCAAACCCGGGTGCCAATGATTGTAACTTATTTACAACATTCTTCCAATTCATGGCTGTTGGTTCATATTCAGGACTCTTGGAGATGTTAAACAAAGATTCCAACACCTTTTGAGGGAGTTCTGCTGGAGTACTTCTTGGGCTGACGGGTGATTGAGCTTCAGAACTAGCAAGAACCTTTGCATAATTCCTAAAACGAACAAAGCAACTTTGCTTGTGAGACCAGGCTCTACACTTCTAACATTCTCACAGCGAGAATGACATTTAGCCTCAAATAAAGGGACCTAAACAAGCTTTATGCCATGACATATTTGCCTAATCTGCATAATAGCATATAAATGGCATATGAAATACTTACTACCATAAGTGGCACAAACTGAATGAATCCAGAGAGAAAAATATGTATATGTATGGTTTGAGACAAATATCAATGGTATCTCCTGGAATTACCCCAAGAGTGAAAAAATGAAAGGACTAAAACTCCAATGACTTAAGCTGCTTTACAAAAGGTTCCCCTCATAAAAAACTAACATCATATGCTATCCAAATGCATAGGCTCTTCAAGCAAGTTTTAACATAAATTTACAATGTACATCCTTGATGCAAGATGGCTAAGTGGCATAAAAAGGAGTGCTCCTAACCATCAAAATCCTACACTGCCACACAACATCTAATAGATGCCATGCCAGAGATAGAGAGAGAGAGAGAGAGAGAGAGAGCAAATAAAAAGATTATCACTATAACTATACTGTATACTCAAAATGAAATGATCAAGGATTTCATTGGGTTAAGAAAAGAAAGAAAAGAAAAATGGAAAACAGAAGCGTCGAATTAGAATAATTTACCGGCAACTATATCCGGAATACCATATATTATCCTGGAGCTCGCTTTCAGATGAATGAGAAGTGCAATCAGATGCCCTATCCGTCGGCTGTCACAAAATTCCATAATCAATATAGACAAGGCACAAAACCAACTATTATGAAATTTTAAAACGAAAAGTATATGTAAAAAAATTTGCGGCCAACATATGTATAAAAATAATTCACAAAAAAGTTAAATAAACTAAACTATCAATCGTTATCCTTCATAAGCCTTACAGCAAAGCCACTCACTAGGCTCTTACAGAAGACAGCATAAACATCTCAATTTCAGTAAGACAACACTCTGGAAAATGTATCAACTACATCCTACTAAATTAAGAAAGAACAAGAAAAGGGGTGGGGGATGTTTGCTGCAAATTCACAATCAGATGATGTACAGACATCTAAATAACACTATGTTAGTTATGCATATCTGACATGAGTTCAACCAACCCAAACCCTCCACAAACTCAGTCCCCTACTTGTCAAGATGTGAACAGAGGAGTCTTTATTCTAACATAGGGTAAATACAAAAGTAACTTCTGGTGAGGGACTGATAAGAAAAAATATCTTAGCAAAAAGACAATGACAAGAAAGCCTCTAGATGGTCCTGAATAGTAAGAAACTAAAGGCAGTCATATCAACAAAACACAAACCACCAGAAGCACAAACCTACAGACTCACACCATAACAAATATGAGTGCCACCAGAAACTTGTGAAGTTAAACTTGCATATCAACTATCAAAAAATAATGTTCAAAATAATAAAGTGACACAATACTATTGAACGAAAAATAACCAAAAGCACAACCCCGACAAGTTTATACTATTATGTTTAACAACAATGCCTTGACACAAAATAAAGAGCACAAAATATAGTACTTACAGTATCAGACTGATCGATGCGATATCTACCATCTTCTTTAAAAATCAAACTACTGTTAGAACTACTACTGGACTGTTCAAACGAGGAAGAAGATACATCAAGTAATGCATCCAAGGCCTGGAGAAGCATATAAATGGTCATTAGATTATAACCGAAAACCCAGTAGGTTCAAATAGGAATTTTCTTTTAGCTCAAACAAAATTTCCATAATGCTCATGACCCCTGGCGAATGTTCCATAAATATCTTAAGCACTCAGTGAAACATGATACAAACTCTATACACGCTAGCCACAACTAACTCATCTTCAAACCGACATATGCAAGCCCTTAGAAGAGAGGGAAAAAAAAATGATAAGCTCCGACTCACAATGCTCTTAGTACCTTTTCAACATCATACCCACACTGACCTGCAAAAACAAACTTTCAGGTCATGCAACAGCATACAACATATCCTATTCTACTCGACTCAACTCAACTCAAACTTACAGAACAAAAGACCTTAAAAATATAAATAAACAGTAAAAAAAATTCTACAGTGCTTCACTTCAGTTAGTATGTAAATCATAGTTTATACAATACTACACATACTACAATTTGAATAACTTAGCTCGGAAATAAAATAAAAAATTAGTGGCTACTCACAGAGGACATCTCTAACAACAGCCAAGCTTAGCTCAGACTCATCTCCAAGCATAGAGCAAAGGAACTGCTCGGCATCTTCTTCCCCAGCAGGAACTCCATTACCAAAACCCTTCAGCTTCGTCATCGTCGACCATGAACCTCTCCTAGGATTCGAGCTCACGTAATCTTTACCCAAAAAAGTTGATACCGTTCCCGCGGCCGCCACAACCCTCTTCTGCTTACCCCTAAAACCCTTCTCGCTCACCAAATTCTGAATACAGCCTGACTCGAACCCTTCTGACGAACCCGAACCCGAGCTCGAGCCCCAACTCGAACCCGCATCCGATCCAGAAACGCCACTCGTTGTGGAACTCGTGAACGGCTCTTCGGAGCTTTCAGCCACAGCTCGCTCCAAAATCTCTGCGGCTTTGTTCGAGTCACCGTTGGCTTCGCGATACGCAGAAACGGCGTCGTCGAGTGAAACCGAGGAGAAGTCCTGTGTAAGCGCGCGGATCACTTTCTGGCCTTCGTCTTCTTTGGCGACTGGCTTCGGATCTACCGAGCTCTTCTTCTTCCTTCTCCTCTTCGTGTGCTTCATCGCTGCAGATATAGCTAGGGTTTGACGTAACCAAGAGAATTGGAAATGATAATTATAATGATGAATAAAACCCTAGCGTGAGAATAGAATACGATCAGGGATGATTTTCTTTCCGAGAGGATTAGGGTTTCTGAGATAGGTCGGTGCACCGGGGGAGGATCGGATCAGAAACCCTAAATTGGAGAGGCAGAGAGGGGGCACAGATGGAGAATTAGAGAAAGGAGCTTGGCTAATTTGAGGATTTCTGAAAATAACAGGAGGAGAAGGTGGTGGTGGTGATGGTTGGCGAATGGTTGACAGGGATTCATTTTTGTTTTGTTTTTTGGGCGACGACCTTTTGGAATTCTGAAGCTAAGTAAGTAAAAAGGGGAAAGGATTGGACTCAGCCATTTTATGGGATATGGGGCCCCATTCCTAACACCAACTGTTGCCATGCGACGGGATATCACTTTTCTTATATTGGCTGATAATGCAATGGCACGTAGAATAAGTTTTTCACATATCATTGTATTATTTATCGTAAATAGCAAAATAATACTATCTCGTGACACAGCAGCCAATACACGTGGCACCGTTGATGGAAATAAACGGTCGAGTTAATTAAATTGGGAGTGTACAGAAAAACAAAGCGACCGTTGAGCTAATGACAATTTTGATCCCTTATTGACCAAAATTTAAATTAGGAAGACAGAGACGTTCACATCCCTAATTTTAATAATAATACTACTTTTACCACATTCCTATACCATCTTATGTGGTAGTTGAGGTGGACAGTCACGTCAATTAAAATTATTTAATATTTTCTTTTCTTTTATGATTTATTCCAGTATTTGCTTGTCCAATTGTCTTAATTAAAATACACTTCATTGATTTAATTGATATGACATATAATATGGACATGCCACATCATGTGGTATAGAAATGTGAGATAAAAATGTGGTAAGTGTAGCATTACTCTAATTTTAATCACAAGTTTAATAGGGGTAGTTTTGGTTGCTATGGATAGTTTGTTTTTTAATTTTAAATTTTTAAATATAAAATATAAAAAACTTTTTAATAGGATGGGCTCATGCCGCAAAATGGCCAAACCCCCAACTCGGCACAGCTTGATGGACCGGAACTCTCATCCCCGCCCACCCAGCCCAAAATGGTCCGAGCAGGTACCGAACTATGCTAATACAAAACTGGGTCGGACTTGAACAAACCATGCCCTTACTAAGCCTGAATTTGTCCCTCTCATCAATTAACACATTCGAATCTTCGATCTTATAAGGGGAACTTCTACAATGAGGAGTTAAAGTGATGAGACCGATCCAACCGTCAAAACATTTAAAATATTTAAGTCCCATGATTTCTTTACATTTGTTGATGGTGAGATTTGACCTCCTCAAATAACCTCCTCACTTTAAGCCCTCATTATAGCCTTTCCGTCTTATAAAAGAGACACTTGCCAAGGAAAAACATGCAGAAACCATTGTTATTGCAACCAGAAGGATAAATTGAGCACATTTTTTCTTGTCTTTTATGAACAGTGAAAACTTCTCTCTTTCAGTGAAAGCATTTTTCATTTTTACTGTTCTACATTGATCTAAAGAGTAAAGATACAAGCATCTGGGATCAGAAATGTTGCAATCGCAGCCTACCCCATGCAAATAGATTTCTACATTACACATTATTTGATACACCATAAGATATGGATGGGGAGATTTGCCTGCCACACTGTCAAGATTCACGGTTTACTTTCAACGTCGACTGTTTTAATTGCCTCCTCGTAGACACAGCCAGTTAAGGATTTAGGCTGTGTTGTGTATTGACAGAGGACAACCTGCTCTGTGGATTTGGGAGGAGAAATTGGCAGATCCCATTGAGGTTCATGAGCAAGGTATTTTGTTGTCTGCTTAGCTACTCCGAGAGATGCATGAAATTGTTCATGTCCTGCTGCGTTCACAAACCTAAACTTGTCATCTTTTCTTTCACAACAGTTAACACACTGCATTTTTCTTCTCTGCACCTCTTCCCGAGCTCTCTGGAAGATTAAAGGAGAGCGCAAACAATGAGATATTTCTAAAAGAGAACATTCTCAGTTCACTAGAAAACAATCAGTTAATAGTTACATAAAGGAGATGAAAATCCAAAACAGAATAAATTTGAGCACAAATAGAACCACATAATGAGCCTTGTGCCCTTCTTACTTAATCATAGTCACTCTATTTAGTGATGCCCTTATTCTCATGTTTCACAATAACCATTGCACTGCAACAATGTTCGCAAATTTTCAGCTTGTACAAAATTGCCAATAGCAGAACAAAGAAGTTAGTATGGCATGTAAAATACTGTAAATGTTTTGAAGTGCTTATGAAAAAAATTCCCCATACATCTTCCCTATAGGACTTGTCCAGAAGAACTTTATACCTCATGACTATTATGAGAAGTAGCATCTCATTTACCAGAGCAAAATATTTCATGACACACACTAAAGAACATCCAGTCACATCTCCAACAGAATTACGACATGCAAGGTTAAGTGTTGCATACTGCACAATACAACCTATGGATCTCCATCCATCAACTACAACTGTTAGTAAACTACAATGTTCGGAGCTACTTGAAGAACTTCTACCCATTATCCATACCTGAACATGTGATCAACACCTCTCATCTACATATAACTCAACACTCCCCAGTGCACCAAGTTGGATATCCAAATTGCACACAGGGTGATGCCTTGTTTTCAGAAATTATTATCAACTCCATATTTCAGAGCAAAATTTATCAATTCTATCATGTCAAAATACCATTAGTACCATAATCATAAATCGCATATAAGATTTCACCTATACCAAACTTTCGAGACGATAGTAGCGGCATCAAAGCTAAGCAGTCATACATCAACTAAATAAAACTAAAGCAATCAGCGAGAGATTATTTGTAAGGACAAATGAGACAAACCTGTAGCAATCTGAAATCGAACTTGGGCAGTCCAATTTGCCCAACAGTCAATGACCCAAACAAGTTCCCAAGCAATGCAGCATCAGGCACAGTTAACCCATTAACAAGACCAGCAACAAACCCACCTAAGAAACTGTCTCCGGCACCCGTCGGATCAACCTGGTTCGTCGGAAACGGCCCAACTTCCACTTCCCCATCTCTCCAATACACTCTGCACCCACGCCTCCCGTTCGTCACAACAACACAGCAGAGCTTCCTCACCTCCTCAACCTCCATGAACAAGGCCTCTTCCGCCGACGCCTTTAAGAACCCAATTCGCGGCAATAGGTGGAAGAAACCACTCTCTTTCAAAGCCACATGCTTCACAGTCCCATCGACGCCATCGAAAGCTCGGATCAGAGCCTGGATGTCCACAAACACAGTGTTGCAAATCTCAAGCAGCTTCTCCATCGTCTCGACCGTGACCTCTCCTCCGACCCCGACCGCCATTCCGAAATCAAACCTGGATTCGGGGAGATCCGAGGGCTTAATCGGGTCGCAGGAGCTGACCCGTTTCAGAACCCGGTCCTGGCGGCCGTCGCCGTCGACGCCGGAATCGAAATGCGCGTGGAACAGAGTGGTTTTGCAATTGGGTACAACAATGGGGTCACGAGGAACCGAGTAAGCGAAGTCGGAGCCGACTTTGGAGACCAGATTGTAGGGAACGGAGAGGCCATCGAAGACGTTGGAGATGAAAGAGGCTGCCCCGCCGAGAGTCTCGGCCAAAACGACGCCGTCCTTGATGAGAACGTCGTGGCAATAGTTGCCGGAGACTAGCACTCGGTGAGTGGAATTGGGTTGGTTTCGGTCTCGAACCATGTGGGGTTTGGTGGGTTGGGATTCGATTGTGTGATTTCAGGATCATGGGTGAGAAAGAAGAAGAAGAAGAAAGAAAGTTAGGGTTTGAGAGGCGCCATTGAAGAAATGAGGGGAGAGAGAGAGAGAGAGAGAGAAAGAGATATTTAAGAGATGACGATGGGCGCAGAATGAAGACAAAGTCGGGTTTGGGTTGGCAAATTGTACGTGCAGGTGTCGCTAGGAAGAAGACGCGCAATGCGCACCAGAATATAGAGATGATATGAGAGAGAGGGAAAGATGGGGAGGAATTGAAACATATTTATAGTGTGCATGGATGGAGAGATCAATCGGTTGGGGGAGGAAGCTGACTGTTGTCGGTGATGGCCTCTCCTCCGTCCTTTGCTTACTTTGATTTGCGGAATTGGGACCATCGGGAATTGCCACTATGATTTGTTTATCCAAAAGTTATACTTAATAATTTCTTCTTCTCTTTTGGGTCAGAATACTTAATAATTTCTTCTTCTCATTAGATATTAAAAATCATTACTGTCATCTTAGATTAAATTCTCTTTTTGGGTCCAAGCTTGACATTATAAAGCCCAATGGCACAAAGAAGGACTCAATCTACTAGGCCCAACGACACAAACGTTCCACAACACAAGCACTTCAAGAAGAACCATAAGACATCCCATTTCAAATAGATTGGAGTACTGCCCTGGTCTCCTTTTGGCAAACTTATAAATTCTGGGATTTAGGAAAATACTTGCCTCCTCAGGAAGTAGGAACTCCTACTTTCCTGCTAATCACAATTTGACATGTAAGAATGCCTCCTTTCAGGTAAGGAGTAAAGCATTGTCTTGGGATTTAGTTTACTAAATTGAACGACACATCAATATATTATGCTTTACAAGGATGAGACTCATAAAGACTGATTTAGACATGATTCCAATTCCGTTCACGCCAAGCCACTAAACAATGCCTAAAAGCTCTACTGAGTGTCAAAACAAGAAGAGAAAAGTCTTTGTAACAATCCAAAAGTACAACCTCATTCTCAAGGTCACTTATATCGCGACTCTACAATCACTATTCATTACTTATTCTAACTTTGGCATCAAAGAGTATCACTATACATAACTTATTCTAACTTTGGCACCAAAGAGTCTTTAGCTAACATGACATCGGTGTTCCTCAAATCACGGAAATCAGTCATTTGTGCAAGATATTGAGCATAGAAGACCAGCTCAATAATCGAGCAGAATTTTACTTGGGTTCGAGCAAGAACACCATTGAGACCCTGCTAGGACAGCCGTTATTAACAGGCCAAATTTAAGTATCACAGTCCTAATACACGAGCTCACCACTTTAGGACCACCTCATGGAAGAACTCCTCCCTTCATAGGAGCTCCCGGAAAATATTCAAAAAATACATGTACTAAAGTGCTAACCAAGCAGAGCATAAAGCGGTAATCATAACAGAACATCCATCAGGTATTTGCTGCTGTTCTACAAGCTTACACAATTGGCTAATAGCTATCATGGCTGGGAATGTGATTCCAGATCACTTACAACCCTCTGAAATGGCCTAGTGTG